TCTGTGTTTTTTTTTTTTCTCTTTAAAAAAGAAAAAAAACAAACAGAAACACAACCCCCCCACAAAACCAAAACCAAAACCAAAACAAAACAGGTATGCCATTTATTTGTGGCAGATGAGTCATCTTGCATAGCTGTCAAAATCTACGTCTTCATTATACAAATCTGTAATGGCATTTGCTTACGTATCCAGCTGATGACCAGCAGTATGCTTTACTTTAGGACCCATCCCGTGCAGTATCTGCAGTCTTCTCCAGGATGATATTTCCAACTTTTATGTTTTCCTCCTCTGCCAGTCAATGGCAATCGCATCTGTTTCTCCCTCTGTGAATTGGGTAACAGGGAGGGTCTGCAGGTTTTCAGCTGTAAATGTCTGAAAGGCAAATTCTTTTCTGAAAGTAAGCAGTATCATAACCAAAAGACAGAGGGTTTGGCCCAGATTAATTAAAAAATGATATGTTTCTTTCATTACTCTGCAATCTGCCTACCATTTCTCTTATTGATGTCACATGTCATTTGCTTATGTGCAATTTTAGCCTTGGACTCAATGCTAAGTTCTGTTCAGTACGTCACCAAATGCCTTTCAGGACTGTTGCCAAAAATATTCTCTTTCCTATCCAAAACTGACCTGGGGACTCTAATTCTTTCACTTACAGCATCTAGCCTTGACTACTGTAATTCCTTGGTTTGCTGGGCTTGGAGCCAAATCGATTGGCAGACTCCAGCTTAGTCAGAATTCAGCAACAAGGCTTCTGACCCAAACCACGCCAACTCTATATCCTCCCTGTGCTGCGAATCTATATTTGAAAAGCATGTTATACATTTACTGTAACAGTTTCCTTTACACTGTAATTTTATGGGTGGAATTTTTCTTTTACCCTGCATGTCAACTGTTGCATTCTTACAGAATTTTTCTGAGCTAAATTGCCACATATTCTACTCTTGCACTTACCATAATTTAGTGCAAAGCCCTTTTCATTCTGTATCCCTAATTGGTGGAATCTGGAGTGAAATTCTACATGAGATCTGATTTTTTTATCCGCCAGCAAAGACTTTTGTTTTTATTTTAACACATTGTGTTTCAGTTTCTATTTTGTTTCTTTTTTATTGTAAGGCATTATAAAACATTTGGTTGCTGGTGTTCTTTATTATTACATACAAGAAATTAAAAATAATCGTGAATGCATAGCAGCTGATAAATGTAATAAGCAAAGGCAAAATGGAGTACTTGTCTCCTGAAGCCAAGGAGAAATTTCAGCCTTCACTCAATCATGTATTTAAAATAGCCTGCTTGATAAATGTAATGGAGGGTAAAAGTGTTCTCTCCACCTCTTAATCTACAGATGAGGCTATACTTTGGTTCTCATTTATTTCTGTTCTTTTCTGGTAGTATGAACTTCAAATATCCTGTATCAAATATTCTCTTGCCCTGGAGATACTCTAGTTTTCCCTTTAATCCATTCTTGTACGCAACTTCTGCAGGCATCATTTAAGGGATTTTTGTTGTTGTTGTTGTCCCTAGTTTTTACGGTTGTTTTTACATTTATGCTTTATAACAATAGCCTATTCAGGTAACATGTTTTATGGCAACAGAAACTGAGGTTTAAACTTTCCTTTAAAATCCTTACTATGAGCTGGCACCTCTAATAAAGTGTATTGTTGTTACATCGCATTTGTTAAACATTGACACTTGCATATCACTCTAGGCTTAGTTGTTTGGGTCTTTTTGGTTATTTATAACTCAGCAGAAAAACAATTAGATAATAATCCTTTGTCTGAAACACGCCACATAAATTACCAGCTGCAGAATAAGTCGTTAGGAAAGATGCAATTATTTACATCCTGTAAGTTATATTGATAGGAAAAACAATGACGTGGTATGGATCCTTCCAGAACAATGCGGTTTTTTAAACCCTAATTTAGTAAGGAAACAGCTTTGCATATGGTCAATGAAAATTTGATATAGCATAGAACTTACCAACAGATGTTTCACAATGAATATTTCATGTTACTTAATAATTCTACTTACCAGTCACAGTTGACAGTACAGTGCATCCTGGAGTTCAAGGTGCCTTAAAGAGGTAGATACGATCTGTTATTTCATTTTGGACTATTCTTTCTGGAGGTCAGGAAATAGTCTGAAAGCCATGGTCAGCAGTGGGACCGAGAACAACTGTTTCACTCAGATTCTGCAGATATCAGCCCAAAATCTGGGGCCACTCTTTGGCCAAATCTTACCCAGACATGGGGGAAAAAATGAGTTAACTGGAGAGTTTCTCAGCTGATAGGAACTCTTCTGGCTTCCCCTTAGGGATGAATTTACCATCCTTACGGGCTGTGTGTTGCTGGATCACTTACCCATCCAAATTTGATCCTGATCAGGGGTGTGTACAGTATGTCTCGTCTTCCAGTTACCCAGAGCACAGGAGTTATGCCAGCTTTAGGCTTCCCGAGTGTCTGTGGAAGAACAAATGAATCTTGATGCAACATGAATTAACGTACGAACAAATGTGAACTGACAGAACGGGTTTGTGTTGGATTGCCATCTCATAACACATGACTGCAGGATTTTGATGCAGTACAAAGAGATGAGAAGCCACTTTCCTGGACTGTCAAACCATGGCCTTGGCTGCTCTTTAGCTCTAATGTAATGCTTGGAGACCTTTTAATCTGGGTGTTACCTGTGGGTGTATGTAACACTTCATAGCCTAGATAGCTGTGTATATTGAAATTGCTGTACGTACATTGACACTTTCTTTGAATACAGAGTAGTGGGATGTTGGTCTTTGATATGTACTAATTTAATATTCTCCTCTACATTTCCTTTTTTTTTTTAATTATCCCTAGCTGCCTATTGAATAAAGTTTCTCCAAATGCCTTGATTTTTAGCATCTAGTACTCATAGTATCCTACCTCCTTTTTTTTTTTTTTAATTCCTGAAAGTTAGGTAAGTGAAGGACATCCTTTTTCTGCTCACTTTGTCTACTGCAGTTATGCAAGAAAAACTCTTTGACGTCTTCCTAGCTTGTGTTTCCATTGAGGAGAGCTTCTGAAATGATCAGATAATGACTTTTGATACATCTTAGCACCTGTTCACAGAATGGAAATTAAACACTTTAAAGTTCAAATGTTTTTCAAAATTCGAATGATCTTATTAATACTTATTAGTGGAAAATGGCAAACCAGCTCTTCCTCATAGTTTTGTGAATCTTTTCTACTTGAGTTTCCACTTGCAAACTAAAAACAGATTGTTAATTAAGCAAGATTTTATGAGCACCTGGGTCATCAACACAACGATAGTAATTAAATTCTAGCTTCAGTTTCTATACACACAATAATAGAGTGCTTTAGCATTTTCATTCTTTTCAAATTAATTGAATAAATATACACAACATAACTTCCTTGATACATCCACCCTTCACTCCAAGCAAGTTCTAATAGGCTGAAATTATCACATCTGCTACTAAAACCTGAATGGATCACAAATGGATCGGATCATCCCAGTAGCTTTAAGGCACCTTCTTTAGTATAAACTACATATAAGTATTAATTTTAAAAGACTACATTTATTTTCTATGGCTTTAGAAGTTAATTAACCAGCCGTGATGACTGCAAAGAAAAACTTCCATATGTGATTCAAAATGTTGTAATCTTCCTGAATCTGAAAGCAACCTGCAACAGTGGTAAAAAAAGAGAATAGAAATATGCTCCTATTCAAGCGAGTGGGGTTAACTTTTAGATGTAGAGGTGAACGATACATTACTAGGTGAGCTCACCATTTTAGAAAAGATGGGTTGTGATGTATAATCAGATCCTCCACATCTGTGACTTGAGAGGAGGAGAGCAGGCATCGATCAACTGGATGAGAGACCAGACCAGAGGGCATTGCAGCACTCCTGCCACCATTTCTCGATGAAAGAGGTGGGAGGGAGATGCTGCAAGCTGCAGCTTTACAAAACAGTGGGCATCGTTTCAGCCCAGGAATCTAAAGAGATAAATAGCCAAGAACCTTGTCAAAGAGTTGAAGGATTTTTCAGGTTGAGTTCATAGGTCGGCACAGCTGCTGTCTCAGGAGCACAGCCCAGGTCATTTGTAGAAAATCTGGATTTCTTGGGGGTCTTGCAGTTAACTGTGCTGGGATTGAAGCAACTTACATCTTGGTCAAATCATTTCTTAGCAGGTCACTGTTGTGGAAGGACAATGTTGCTTGTAACTGATGCGAAGAGAAAGAAAAGAGTGTTGGGAGAAAAGTTTCTGATTTAGGATGAACAAGTAGCTAAAAACTTGAGGATCTTAATTGTCCTAGATAATTGACCAAAAGAAGTATTGATGTCTGGCTTCAGAACAAATTCATTAGAGTTGAATGAGGGAAGCCCATTTCACATCTCTTCTTCATCTTACATGTACAAAACCGCGACTGTTCATGCACATAAACATACATAGGCCATGGACAGAGGACAGAATGATCTACCACAGGTGAGCCCGTCTATGTTAAATAGAAGGGAGGCTGCAGCTACAGCATGCAGCATTAATGTACAGTTTAGCCCTACCCGTCTGCTGACAAATTCCCGCTATCAGATAGTCACCCTCCAAAGCAGTTTGCCTTTCGCGTTTTCATTTGCACAGCCTGCTCATCTGTACGCAGCTGCCGCAGGGGAACGTGTGTCACGTTTACGCCTCCAGCGTCATTTCGGTAGCCGCACACGCAAAGGCACGTGGCTGCGCAGAGAGTTGTAGCAGCCGTCACGGGGAAGGAGCTGCATGCGTGGTTTTTGGTACATAGTTATCGGTTGTGTAGGCTAAAGTTATGGAGACAGACTTGAAGGGAGACATCTCCAACATTGGTAAAATGTAAGTACAAAAGACACATCATTGGATGGATATTGATGATGTTGTTTCAGTAATGACATCATCCATAGACTCCTAGTGTCTTTGCTTTGCTTCTCTATAGTGATCACAACATAAATTGCTTGTCTTGTTTGACTTCCTTGTTCACCAAAGTTGAGCAGATTGTCGCCGTTTTCAACGCTTCTACCAGACAAAAAGCTTGGGACCATTTCTCGAAAGCCCAGCGAAAGAACATAGACATTTGGCGAAAGCATTCTGAGGTTGGTGATTTTATTATTATTTTCTATCCATCATCTCACAGCTGGATTGACACAGAACGAGTGTGATTGTAGCTGGACATAGTGTATTCAGCAATATTTACGGCTACCATTTTAGCTGTTAATCAACTGGCCATTATACGGTCTCATCTACAGCATGAATTGCTCCCATTGCTCTCATTATGATAATAGTCATTAAATAACATTGAGAGCAATGTGTTTTTATTTTTCATGCAAAATTTGGGAAATCATTGGAGGATTATATTTGCTATCTAAAATAATGAACTGAAGTAGTGAAATTAGGAACAATATTTTCAACTAAGGATAGAATTAAGAATTATTTCTGAAAAATATCTTCTTAGGCGTCACCGTGATCTGTTTTTAAAAGAAGTATTCCATAGCACAGATTTTGTTTTTTCTCGTTGTGCCATTATATGGTCATTACAAGATGACTTTGCCTGGAAATAAAATAGAAAATTTCTTTCCTAAGTAATGACTTAAGCATATTAAGTCCAGAATTATGACATACTCCTTCCCATTTGTTTCATGTTTATCTTTAAAAAAGTAGATACATCACTTGTATTGATTCTAAGTATTATGCTTGCAAAGAAACCAGTATAAATGTAATCATACTACCACACGGAGTTAGCAGTGTGGGACCATGCATGTGTGACTGTCATAAGCATGAGCAGAGGAAATGGAATTCTAACTCCCCTTGCTGCGAGTGGCAGCAAAGGAAGCGCTAGACCTCATCCTGTGTTTTGGTCATCCAGCTTTCGTTTTTAATTCAGTATATACGCTATGAGCCTGTATTTTAAAAAGTAAGTACCGCTGTCTTTGTTTTCTTTCTTTCTTCTTCCTTTTTTTTTTTTTTAATATGAGCAACTTGCATACAGTTGGTTTACCTTCATGTAGTACAGTATGTTGATTGTTACTATCACAGTCCTCTAAATGATTTTTCTCTGTCCCAGAATAAAAACTTTAGAAGGTAAGGTGCACTTATTTAATTATTTTGTAGTACACTTGTAAAATAAGTGTTGTACACTTAGTTTGAGAAACACTAAAGTGCTGTGATATAAATCATTTGGATAACATTTTAAGTGCCCATTAACTAATGCTAAATTACAGTTGAATACCAATGGCACTAAATGTAACATCCACATGAATACCAAATGAATTTTTTATTATCAGTGCTATTATGGTGAATACCAAATGACTTCACAATAATGGGACACTTAAAATAAAATGTTAGCATAATTTATTGGTACAAACTGTATTTTGCATTTTGTTCACAAATATTTCATATAAGTAGTGGATAAAGCCTGTGTTCAGTTGAAAGTTGGGAAGTTGGGATTTGATGTTTGCCTTATCTTTTAGAGAAGTATGAAAATATGATTTGCTAGAAGATTATTTCAATTATACTAAGACCATCCCTTCTTGAACTAACTTTCTCTAAAGGGATATGGTGTGTCATTCATTTGCTGGCTTCTAAATCTTTAATAAACTGAAATGTGTAGGAGTTGGACTTTCCAGAAATGTTAATTCACTACTCATTTTTTCAAATATTATTGCCTTTTATTCTTCTAAGAAGAGGACAACAAAAACAATTCAAAAACATGTGAAGGCTCTCGCTAAAGCAATATATTTCAGAAATGCCTGTCTTTCAGATGTGAAATATGATGGAAATGTACCAAATGGCATCTTTGATTTGAATCATATTTTCTAACGGTGACATTATCTGCTAATCTGTTTAATTGCCTGATCACCCTCCCTTTTTTTTCTGAATTTAGAAAAACTTTGCTAGAAACCCAAACCCAGAGCAATCACTCATACACATAGACATTCTCCATGGAAGGTTATTGGCTTTGCTGATAATGTAGGCATTGATGCATCAAGGACATTTATCCCCTAAAGAGGGAGTAAATGTAAGCGGATGTCTGCTCAAGTATGCAGTATACTTCCCCAGGAAAAAATGCAGGTGGCCTTTTCCAATAAGGAATTAAGCAATGGCTTGCTGATTTCTTCCAGAGGTGCCTCTGATTGCCTGAGACACTGGTTGACAATTTACCTTTTTAATCACTTTTTTTAAAATTTGAAATTATTCTCATGTAACACGCCCACTAATTAGCCTCCTTGCCTTTGCTGGGATTAGTGGACACAGATACATTTATCAGAATATTTGAGATGTGCCGATGAACCGAGGGTACAGCTCAAGGGGAACGCCTTCCCTTTTTTCACGCAGTCCCTCTCTGACAGCTTAGTGTTAATTGCGCGGAGCAGCGGTCGGACTCCTCAATGCTGTCTCCTCCTTCCACGCGACTCTTCCTTGTTTCAAAGATTTCAAACCACCTCTTGGGGAATTAAGCTCTTTGTCGGCAGAAAAATTAGCTGTCTGCGGACTGAAAAGGCCTACACTAATCACGGTGCAGCATCCCCGTGTTACACCTGACAGGATTATTAGGACAAAATAGAGTCCTCTCAATCTTCTCGGTGCTGCCGTTAAAAAGCCAGCCGCTACACCCGCGCCGGCTTTTCTACCCCGAACAAAGACCGTCTAGACTCCCCCAAAACCCGCCTGCCTGCCCGTCGTTTCCCTCGTGAGACGTGGAGGGGCTGCCTGCCCTTGTGGTGGTCACCCATAGACCGGCACGTCTCGTTGGATCGAGACGCAGAGATTTTCAGGACGGCGTGATGGGGCTGAGTCTCTTAAATCCGAGGCGATCTGGGCATAGAGGCGGGGGGGGAGATTCCTTCGGCCAGCGTTGGGCATCTCTGGTACAGAGCGCTCCATCGGCTCCCTTTACCATCAGCGGAGAGAAATAGGCACTTTTAGGGTGTAGTTAGTATGACTTTGTTTGATGGAGACCCCCATGCTCGGCCGGGTGAATCCTACCCCAAGTGGCAGAGAGAAGCAAGAATTATCTATACCTTAAGCAGGCCGACAATCTCTTTATCAGACTGCTTTATACACAATTTTTAGCCTTATCCCTGCTGTTCAAGCGTTCTCCCATGTTTGGCAGAACTAAAGATCACTGAACGTGGAGACTCACTTTCTTTTTTTTCCCCCAAGTGTTACCTTTGATAAACTCCGTTCTTTCACAGGAAGAATTCCCTGTGCTACCGTTGTTATAAATATTCATATACAAATAAATGTGATTACAATGATAAATGATGCATAATTAAAATCAGAGCAGTATTAAAAACAGATACTAAATAATACATAATGACTGTATGGAAGTTAATACTGACAAAAGGTTGTTTTGGGTTTTAGGAGCTTCGAAATGCTCACAGTGAACAGCTCATGGGAATCCGCCGGGAAGAGGAGATGGAAATGTCCGATGATGACAGTGGTGACAATCCCAGTAAAAAGCTGAGAGTAGATGATTCAGGTAAAGCCAAAACCCTCTATAACATCAAGTATATACACCTGTTGTTTTTTTAAAAGCAAGCAAAAACTTACATATGACAAGTGACATATTAATAGATGATTATATAAGACAGTATCTTATTTTAAACTCTCATAACTTAGTTATTTGCATGATGCAAGCTGTCTCTAGGAGGTGTCTGTCACCTGCTGTGATCTATAATGATGAAAATTCTTCAGTTTTGCCCTTGGCTGGAAGCATTATGTTTCTTTAGTGCACTCTCTGCAGTCTTGCATGACAGTATTTCATTCCATGGTTGTAACAATGTCTTATTATGAGACCAGCTGAAGTTATGTTTTCGCCAGTATTCTCTAAGCCTTACCTTTCTTTTCAACAAATATGTAATAGTTTATAAGCTCTCTCACAAATACACAATACCATTTTAACTGAGTGGTTTGTGGAATTAGCTTTTAAGGGTACATATTTCACAATATGGTACTGCATACTGCATTAATTTGGTACTCGTTAGATGGCTGTCATGAAAGAAAGAACAAGGGTGCATGTAATACAAGTAAAGAAAAGCAACTTTTTCAGCCTTCTGCAAATACTCTGCTATCCAGGATGGACACCAAGAGGTGGCTCAGAAGCTGCCTGAATTACTGACTGGTAACATGATCTGGATGGATGCTTTGCTTGATTTCTTGACATAATAAAGTTGTCAGTAGCTAACAAGGGTTTGCTTGTTTAGACACTCATCTTCAGAAAGAAAATTTACAGAAGCTGAAGCCAAAGCACAAGTGGGAGCTGCCAGCCAGCAGTGAGCTTTAAGGAAGGTAAAGGCGGGAGTAGTATGGAAAGAAAGTGAGGGTCTGATGATGAGGATAATTTTGATCTAGTCCTTTGCATATATATTAAGAAAGGAACGAATTTCATCTGTTCAGTGGTTTTGAGTCCCTGTATGCCAGCACAAAAGTGTTGATTCAAGCTTATATAGAGAAACGCTCTTTAGCTCCTCCTGTGACAAGATGCTGTGTGAGGTCGAATGACTCCAGAAGGAGAAAGACCAAAGGAAGAAATGTCATTCTGGCAAAGAAGTTTTTACTACGACATCCCTCTTGAGCGGAGACTTAATAGTTTTCCTGGAGTAAAACCTGTAAAGGGCAGCCTTAATTTTTGCTTGGCTATTTGTGTGGATTTGAATTTTTTAGATACCATTAGCAGAATGTTTGGAGCGGAGACAATAGGTCGCTGCAGACAAATCACTGCTAGCAATCAGAAATTTTTATGAATGTCTAATCATTTTACCTTGACTGTGTCCACTCTTATGGAGGGAAGTCATTAGAATTAATAACAGGAAGGTAGAGCCAGAAATACCCACAGCCTGCACGCCAGAAAAGGAGTAATGATGTTTTGAACTGTCATACTTATCAATTCAGCTAGGTTTAACACATTCATGGTTAGGGCAGAACTATGCCGGTCATTCTTTTTGTGACATCACAAATGAAAAGCGTGTTTGGTTTTCTTCTGTGAAAAGGGACATTTCTATCAAAAGTTTTCATATCGGATATTTCTACAGCATTCCATCCCAAACAACTTAATTTTATATGTATTGTTATAATGTGGGCACTTGAGTCCCCTCAGTGATAACACTAGCAAATCCAGTATTGTGTTGCATACTAGATCAAAATTTAGCAGTATGAATCCACTTGAGTACTTGTCCATCACTGGGCATTGTACCATTCACCATCCTCTTTTTTTTAGTGGAGTTGATCCAGCCTGCTCCATACATAGAGTCATCCAGTTCTAAAATTAATTTTGTAGCTTTCTTCTTCCAACATTACACTCTCAACTAAAGCAAGTGCATTTGATTCTTCTGTCATTGACAATACAGGGAACTTGGAGTTAAAGCAATGAAGTTATTGGGTATAAAACATTGGTAAATGAAAAGAAAGTGAGATAAGGACTTTTTTTTTTTTTTTCATTTTTATGTACAGAGAAGTGATTCCTCCTTCTTTCTTCTAGCATTTTTTTTAAAATTACTATTTGTGTTGGCTGTCTTCTCTTTTTCTTTTTTTCTTTCTTTTTGAGTATGTCATTCCAGAACTACCTCTTTATCTCACTGGAGTGGCTATTTGTATTCACAGTAACCTCTGTTCTACAAAGAATGTCTTTTAAAGAATCTTTTATCACAAAGAAACAATTCTGCACAGTGAGAAAACATTGACACTTTCTCTATTTTTAACCCCTTTTCTTTAAATGTTTGTCTAAATGCTTAACAATGGGAAGGGCAAGGCTTGAATAACACAGAGAAGATATTGTGCCTCTTCAATTCAAGGACAGCGTGCACACATAAAGGCCCAAAACCCTAAATTTGAAAGTGGCTGAAGCAATGAGACATGATGAATTGATTTGGATAGTTCCAGACTTCTGGACTGCCTGTCCTGCCATCCCAGCGATTTTCCTGAGGACGTTATTTTTCAGCCTGCCCCACTTGACAGTGGGAACAAGACTCCTGGGAAGTTGCCATCCCCAAAGCTAGAAGAGGTGACAGAGATTCCCCCAGGCTCCAACACCTGTGTCAGGTCTTTTTTCACTAGTTCACCTAGTTAAATCACCCCTAGTACAAGAAGGCTTAATTAATTCACCAATTCAGAATGGGTCCTAAGACCTCATTCTGTCTTGGTAAAGTGTAGCTTCAGGAGTCTCCCAGTGTAATTTCTTCTGTTAGTCAAGCCTTTTTCTTTCAGAAATAACTCCACTCCTGTGAGCATCTAAATAGTGTGGTGCTGAGTGTGTCACATTTCCTCACAGCTAGACTGGTCAGAATGAAAACTCTCCTCTAGGATATCTGAAAAGAAACCTATTCATCACGGTGAAAAAAGACAGTGGAATCCAGCCCCAGCATTTGAAAACGCAGGGCAACACATTTAAGCCCCAAGGCTGTGCAAAAGGACTTCAGTGCCCGAATGCTTATCCAGAATCGCTAGACTTCAGGTTCCAGAGGAATGTTACAGTAAGCTGAGGCCCTTGTATGCAGTAAGTTCTGGGGATTTGGGGTAGATGATGAAAAAGCTGTTACTAAGAATGGTTTGCATTTTTTCTTCAAGTTGTGCAAGATATTAGGTCATGCAAGAGATCAAGTCATGGTGCATATTAGAAATCTACTAATAGCTATTTGTTTGGGACGATTTGGGCTTGCTGCTTGCTACTTGCGACAACGCAGAACAGCTCCAGAGGGACTTGTTGCCAAGTGTGTCACTCCATTCTAGACTCAAATCCTCTTCTTTCCCCTGCCAATTGCTCTTCTAGTTGTTTATGAACTTGATTTACTGATACCAGTGACTCAGTGTCAGAGCTGGGAAAAGAATTGGGACTGGACTTATTTAGTACCCTACTCTATCGTGTCCAAGCTGAATCTTCAAGGAAAAGGAAGGCATCGCTACCTGCTTGTTCTGTTGGAGAACATCTCAAACCGCTGTAAAGGCTCCCCAAAAAGCCCCCCAGGGAATCCAATAAGTTGGCTGAACTATCATACATGCCTAGTTTATAGGAAAACCTCCTGGTTTCACAGACTAAAGGTCATTTGCAATACGGGGAAAGCTGGGAAAAGGCTAACCTGAGACTAAGTGAATCTCGCCTGTGGAATCAGCTATTCTTTTAAATTATTTTCTTTTTTTTTTTTCCCTCCCCAAAATTCAGCCTTTAAACAGTGATTTTTCTGCAATGTGGATTTTGGAGTTTGAAAGAGACAAGAGGATTGCTGAAGTAAAGCTGGGAGATTGCTAAGAAAAAAAATAATAATGATGATTGGCAACTCAGTTAATACATTTGAAAGTCAAGGTGCAGCTACTGAAGCATTAGCTCAAGGGGAAAAAAAAAGGATTCAGCACTGGAGTCTAGAGGATATACGAAAATCTTCAGAACAATCAGGATTTATGGATGCTTCGTCTCCCACCTGCTGGCACCGGGAGTAAGGATCCACATGTAAAAGCCTCCAAAGTAATTTTAAGAATTAGTGAAGTGAAGCTGCATGTTGTAGAAAAGAGCTGAAGTTTGGTTTATGCCTAGAAGGCACCTGTAATTTTACTTTAAGGGGAGGTGGGTTAATCTCTTCCTTTTGCAGTTCTCGGTGACGTGCCATTAATTCTAGCAACTCCGACTTCAGCGAGAGACTGCAGCTGGCACCGCGGAACGGAAAGAAATGCACGGTGCCTGCAGAGGGATGCAAGAAGGATGGTCGCGTGATTAAGGCTTTTGACTGGGATCCCAGAGCTCTGGGCCAAATCCCAGCTCTGCTACATACCCCCTGCCTGGACTAGTCAATGAATTTCTGTTATCTCAGTTCCCTACTATCAAATGGAGGCAACGGTGCTGCTTTTCATTCAGCCGCTGCCTGTTCGGTCCACGGGGATGCTGAGCGCGTTGGTCGAGGGCTGTCTTGCCACTCCTTGGACCCCTGGACCGTTTCGCCACCTGCGATGAAGTAACGTAATAACGTCGCGGGGACTGCACGCAAATAGCAAATCGCAAGTTATGTAGAGCAAGCCCCGTTTGAGCACGTAAGATTGGTGCTGCTTTCCGAGTCAGGAACGACACCCTCTAAGGCAGGATTTTCAAACCTACCGAAAGTAGTGCCCACCTTAAACACTGAAGCTCTTTCTGGCTTCAACAGTAGCCCGGATCTTTAATGCTCTCCTGAACTGATCTGTCCTGTTTGCAGCATCAGCGAATTCACTTGCCGTAGGAGACAGGCTGAAGAGTGGGCAGTCCATCTCGCAGAAGAGCGTAAGTCCTTGTGAAAGTCAGCGTTTGAAAATCGCACCGGGGTGCACACAGCATAAAACAGGCTTTGTGACATTGTTCGTAAGTCTATCTTGAAAGTTGCAAGCCTGGCAAGTCTTCAAGGAAAGCCTGAAACAACACCAAAGTGATCTGTGTGGTGCTTATTCATCTTTTCTCTGCAATTCAATCCTCTTTTTGCCTTCTCTAAGGCTTGTGTGAATGCAGAGATGCACACGTGGAAT